AAGCCGCTCTGCGTGCCCCGGCAGCTGGCCGAGCTGCTCCAGCTGAGCGTGGAGCCGACTTTGACGCCATGCTGCGCCACGACTGGAGGCGCCTCGGCATCTCTGCCAAGGAGGTGCGAGAGTTCTGCGTGTGGCGCAACGCCCCTGAGCTCGCAGGGCGACCTTGTGGACAGCTACGACCCGGCGCTGAAGGAGCACCGCACCGTGTGCTTCTTGGCCTTTGACGGGCACTGCTACATGTACAGGGCCGTGAAGCGGGTGTTGGAGAGGCAGGCGGCGCGCGTGCTCTACCGGGGCGAGGCGAGGCAGACCCTGCCGCCCATCCAAGAGTGGAGGCGCTTCGACGCCGCGGACGTGCAGCCGGGCCTGTTCTGGTGCGAGGACCTGCGGGAGGCGCGGCGCCAGCTCATGGCCGCCGGCGAGAGCCCCAAGGTGGCCATCAGCAGCCCGGCGCAGTACTGCGGGCTGAGGCTGAGGCGGGGCACCAGGATCCGAGAGCTGCCGGAGGAGCACGAGGTGCTGCGGAGGTGGTGCGAGGCGCTCAACCAGGAGTACAGGGGCCAGCGCCTGGCCGGCTTGGCGCACGAGATTTTTCTGAAGCTGCTCAAGGCGAAACGGGAGGTGCCCGGCGCGGCGGAGAGGCAGAAGACCCTGGCCGCGCAGGACGGCAAGTGCGCGCTGTGCGGCTGCGGGCTGACGGCAGGCACCTGCGAGCTGGACCACGTGGTGCCGGTGAGGCAGGCCTTTGCGGGCAGCGTGCAAACTTTGCAGGCGCTGTGCGGCGACTGCCACAGCGAGAAGACGCTGCGAGAGAGCGCGCAGCCCACGAGTTTGGAGAGCCGCGTGGCCCCCGGCGTCATGGAGTACGTCCGGAGCCCCAAGCTGCCTCCTCTGGTTTTTGAGGCGCAGGCGTGCGCAAAGGACGCGCTGTACGTCGGCGTGGACGTGGTGCGCTGCAGGCGCAACGGGCTGGCCAACGCCCCCTTCCCCCTGCCCATCCTGTGCCCGGCGGACGGCGTTGAGCCCGTGGACGGCGTGCTGCCGGACCTGGGCTTTGTGGAGGGCTGCTGCGACGCGAGGCAGTCCTGCCTGAATCTGTTGCCGTACGTGGGGCCCGGCTGGTACCCGAAGGTTTCGCTGGCCGCGATGCTGGACCTGGGCGTCTGCCGCTGGGACCACATCGTGTTGGGCATCTCCGCGCGGAGCCACGTGGACGCGGCGACGCTGCGGCGCGCGCTGGAGCGCATGGACGCCGCGTGGCCCGAAGGCGAGGAGCACATGGCAAAGCTCAGCGTGAACGCGATGATAGGCCTGTGGGCGCGCAGCACGGAGGTGGTCTACAGCGTGCGCAGCAGCAGCAGCGAGCTGGACGGCGCGGGCGAGGACTTCTCTCAGGCCTTCGCCTACGAGGGGGGCATGGTGTGGGACTTCGTCTACGCGCGGAGGCTGCTGAGCAACGGCACCTACCGCCCCATCCACGACGCGGTGCTGGGCTTCGAGCACTGCATGGTGGCCAAGGCCCGGCGCATCCTGGACGCGCCGCCGCGGTACCTCGCGCAGGTGAAGACGGACTGCCTGCTGACGCAGCGGCTGCCGAAGCGCTTCGCGGAGCGGCTGCGGGCGCTGGAAGCGCTGCGCCACCCGGACGGCACGCCGGTCTACCGCGTGGAAGAGACGAAGCCGTTGCTCAGCGGCAGGGCGCCGCGCATGGAGGCGGAGCGGCCCAAACAGCGGAGGTGGAACGGGGTGGACGACCCCGTGGGCCACTGCCTGGCGGGCAACTCCCTGCTGCTCACGGGCCTGCCGGGCACCGGAAAGACGCACCTGGCCCGCACCTTTGTTGCGAGGCTGCGAGAGCAGGGCGAGGCGGTGCACCTCGTCTCAAAGACGCACTGCTCCGCGCAGAACCTGGGCCTGGGGGCGCAGACGGCCGACCACTGGGTGCGCAGGTACGTGCGCGGGGGCAGCGCGCAAAAGCTGGACTGGCTGGTGGTGGAGGAGATCACGCAGCTGGACATGGCGCTCTGGGCGGACCTGGCCTGCGTGGGGCTGAACGCCGACGTGAAGTTCCTGCTGCTGGGAGACTTCCGGCAGCTGCCGGCCGTGCTGGACTCCTGGGCCGGGCGGCCCATCAGCGCGCCTTTGGAGCACAGCCAGCTCGTCCGCGACCTGGCCGGCGGGCACAGGCACGAGCTCACGGAGAACATGCGCTCCGACCCCGGCATCTTCAACTTCGTGAAGTGGCTGCGGGTCGGCGAGGAGGCGTGCCCCACGCTGGAGCAGGCCAAGGCGAGGCTGAGGGAGCTCTACCCCTCCAAGCCCGGGTGGCCGGACACCACGCTGGTCATCAGCCACAGCAAGCGCATGGCCGTGAACGCAGCGGCGAACCGGGCCCTGGCGCCGGAGGGCTCCAAGCTCCTAGAGTTGGAGACACAAGTCATCCACATAGATTTGGGTTGTTGCCAAACAACCAATGGGTGTAGCCAAACTGCAACACCCCAAAACAGCCCGCAGAGCATGAGGGTGTGGCCGGGGCTGCGCCTCATCGGGGCCGGCGGAAAGATACCCAAGGGCGTCTTTGTGGCCGTGGCGGAAGTGGAGCCGGACGGAGGGAGGCTGGACAACGGCATGCGGCTGAAGAACCAGGAGCTGCTGCGGGCCACCCGGCCCAGCCACGCAGTGACCTACGCCAGCTGCCAGGGGCTCACCCTCCACAACCGCGTCCGCCTGGACCTGGAGTCCTGCCACCTCACGCTGCGCCACCTGTACGTGGGCGCCTCGCGGGCCACGAGCTCCGAGCTGCTGGAGGCGGCCTAGAAAGGGCAGCACGGCGCCTCCAGGGGCTCCAGCATGAGGTGGCGCACCTCGAAGAGCACGCCCCACTGCCTGGCCATCAGCCACACGTGCCGGGCCTCCACATGCGCGCGGCCCCTGCGGCGCGCGAACTCCGCGGGGCGCGGCACGCGGTTGCCGGCGGAGTCCCAGAAGAGGCAGCGCTCCAAGTCCATCTTGCACTTCACGTGCTTGCCCTTGGCGCTCACCTTGACGGCGCGCTGCAGCTGGCTCTCAAGCTCGGCGCGGCGTGGACCGGGGTAGGGGTCCGTGGGCTGCTTACTGACTCATCATTACTCGTCGTAGGAAACAGCTTGATCTTTCCCATTTGCGTTGTTTTACCAATTTCAATTTGAAGGGGGAAGCCGGGCGGCGAGTCTGAGTCCGGCTGCGCCAGCTACACAGGCAGTTTACGATTCCAGTGTTTGCGGGCAATCCCGGGGGCGGCGGGGCAGGAGTGGTCGTGTGGTACCGAGCACTCCCCGAGGGTTTTTCAGGGATAAACCAAAGGGCTGGTATGCAGCTGAAGTACTTTGGAAGCAAAGCGTGGTTAGCTCCTCACATGGACCGGCTGCTGGGGGACGTCGCCGTGCTTCACTCTCCCTTCTTCGGTTCTGGAAAGCTGGAGTACTACCTCGCCGCCCGGCGCCCGGGCCTGGAGGTGCGCGGCGTCGACGCCTTCGAGCCCGTCGCAAACCTGCACCGCTGCTACTTGAGGCGAGACCCGGTCTTCCTGCGCTCCTTGCTGCGCCTGGTGGGGCGCAGGGTGGACAGGCGCTTCTACTTCGGGCACCTCCTGCCGGGCGCGCTGAGAGGCCGCGCCGGGCGCCGGGCCGCCTGCGCGTACGTCCTGCTGCGCAACAGCTTCTCGGGGAAGTGGGGCTCCTTCGCACAGCAGCGGTTACTGGCACTGAGCAGCGTGCGGCGTCTCCAGCAGCCACCGTGCAACGTGACCGTGCGGCGCCAGGACGCGCTGGCCTACCTGCGGGCACTGCCATGCCGTGCGCACCAGTGCATCTACGCAGATCCTCCTTACATTTTCCCCGGCCGCAGCATGAACTACTATGGTACGCGAGGGGGCCACGACCTGGTCTTTCACACGGAGCTGCGAGACGCACTCTTCGCGAGCGGCCTGCCCTTCGTCGTCAGCGTCAACGACGTGCCCGAGGCCCGGGAGCTCTACAGCGGGGCCGACTCCATCACACGCCTGCGCTCGGGGAAGAACAGTTCCAAGCCCGAGCTGCTCGTGATGCACCGGGGCATTCCTGTTGTCAGCGCAGGATTGGGGGAAGCAATCCTGTTGCCACAGCAGGATTGAAGGGGCAATCCTGTTGCCACGCCAGGATTGACAAGGGCAATCCTGTTGCCACGCCAGGATTGACAAGGGCAATCCTGTTGCCACGCCAGGATTGACAAGGGCAATCCTGTTGCCACGCCAGGATTGACGGCAGCGTGCAAACGAGGTTGGGCGAGCCATCAAACGAGGTTGGGCGAGCCAGTACTAAGGGGTTGGGCGAGCCAGTACTTGGGCGAACCCGTACTTGGGCGAGCCATCAAACGAGGTTGGGCGAGCCAGTACTAAGCCGTTGGGCGAGCCCGTACTTGGGCGAACCAGTTGGGCGAGCCAGTACTAAGCCGTTGGGCGAGCTCAACCAGTGGCCTCCACGCCTTGGCGCTCCTACGGTGCCAGCTCGGCACTGTGCCCGCTCGGCACGGTGCCAGCTCGGCACTGTCCTAAAGTACCCGCTCGGTACTGTCCTACAGTACCCGCTCGGTACTCCTAAGTGCCCGCTCGGCACTGTCCTAAAGTACCCGCTCGGTACTGTCCTACAGTACCCGCTCGGTACTCCTAAGCGCACTTGCTCAGTGCGACTTGCCCGACGCTTGTTCAGCGCCTCCAATGCGCACTTGCTCAGTGCGACTTGCCCGACGCTTGTTCAGCGCCTCCAATGCGCACTTGCTCAGTGCGACTTGCCCGACGCTTGTTCAGCGCCTCCAATGCGCACTTGCTCAGTGCGACTTGCCCGACGCTTGTTCAGCGCCGTCAAAAAAAACGGACCAATCGTGCCCTCGTCTCGCTCTCTGTCTCTCTCTCTGTCTCTCTCTCTCTCTGTCTCTCTGATTCTGCAAACGCAGCAACCTTTTCACGAACGGTCGTGTCCAAAGTCGGCCCGCTCACCATCCACGAATCCTGCACGGATCAAAAAAAACACGTCACGTCAATCACTAACCACACGCCCGTCCTCCTCAGCGGAGATCGCCCGGATCAGCTCCCCTGAAAGCACGGCGCCCGCTTGCAAAAACGGCCGACGCGCACCAGCACGCCTCACCCTTCTTCCTCGACTTGGATTTCGATGAGGTCCCCGAAGCTTCCTGGCTCAAGACGAAGAAATAATTTAGAGCATGCGCACAAACACGGCAGGCGCACGATCCGCGCCAACTCCAAGGCATGACGCGTCACCACGTCCGCAAGCTCCGCCTTTCGACCGGCCTCCATCCTGTCCACCACCTCCCGCAGCCGCTGACACTCCACCGCAAAATCCCGATTCGCTCGGGTGAACTTCTGCAACGTGGCTCCGTGTTGCAAGACCTCCTGCTGCAGCCGCTCGGCCTTCTCTGCCTCGCGATGCAAAAAGAAGAGAACGGGGCAGGACAACCTGAAAGCGCTTGCCCGCCTCCGTCTTCGCCAAGGCTGTCAGCCTCTCATTCTCGGCGATCAAGTGAGTGCCGGACGCAATGGCCTTGCCGTACTCCGCACAAAGAAGAAAAATAAGAGACATAAAAAACTGCCTTCTGGTTCGTCTCGTTGTACAGCCCCCACCAATAGGCCGTGTTCTGCTTCTCCCTCTCGACCACTGCCTGGAGCTTCCCCACCTCCTTCACCTGATATGCGACAAAGCACACATGCATCACGCATTCGTAAAAAAAGGCCCACCTGTGATTCCAGCCGATGCCTCACCGCCCGGAGCTCGTACGCGTTCCCTGTGGATTTCCTGCCAGGACACAACGCTCACAAAACCCAACGACCACCTAAATGCCTCTTCTTCGTGGTTCCCGCGTCCCTGGCAGACCTCGGCAACAATAAAGTCGCTCATGCGGCAGACGGTGCCCCTAAGCACCGCGCCCACTCGCAGAAGGCTCCGGTCCCTGCTGCCAGGTCCTACATCCAAGACTCTCGCAAAAAACAGAAGAAAAACCAACGAGCAGTCCTGTCACCAGTCCACCACTCCTCTCCGTCCCCACCTGTCACCTCCTGGCGTTGAAAAAAAAACAAGGAAAAGACGAGGGCGAGTCGGGCCTGCTGCAGCTCCTGCGGCTGATGCCACCCCTCCTGCCGTGGAAAAAAAACAGGGAAAAAAATCGAGGGCGAATCGTGCCTGGTGCGTCGGACCCCAATCCTCCTGACGTGGAAAAAACAAGGGAAAAAAAGGGAGAAAAAAACGAGGGCAATTCGAGCCTGTGGCTCCCATTGGCCCCACCGTTCCTCCTGACAGCAACACACCCATAAAAAAACCGGCACAAAAAAAACTTCAATTGTCCTCCGTGACTCCACTCATGGCCGGGGCGCTGCTGATGTTGCTGCTGCTGATGTTGCTGCTGCTAATGTTGCTGCTGCTGATGTTGCTGCTGCTGATGTTGCTGTCTGATCCGGGCCAAAATCTTGCGAAGCACAATACAAGGCTCGTCTAACGTTTAAGAAACAAATCCCAGCACCCCCCCAGCATCTCCAGCAGAGGCGTCCCGAGCGGGACATAAAAAGCGCACCAAAATCATGCAAAATCATGTCATGCCAAAACCATGCCATGCCAAAACCATGCCATGCCAAAACCATGCAAAAAACAAGCTGTTCCACATGCAAAAACCATGCAAAATGCGGCGCGTACGGAGCGCCAACCCGCTGAACCTCCACTCTCCCCGGGTTCCTTGCTATATGTGCTATATGTGCTATATGGCTCTTACAAGGCAAGCCACTGAACATCCACTCTCCCCGGGTTCCTTGCTATACGTACTATATGTGCTATATGGCTCTTACAAGGCAAGCCACTGAACATCCACTCTTCCCGGGTTCCTTGCTATACGTACTATATGTGCTATATGGCCCTATATAGCATATATAGTACAGATTTCGCGCGTACAGAGTATATAGTACATATAGTACATATAGCAAGGAGCTGGGGGAGAGTGGGGGTTCAGCGGCTTGGCGTGTAAGACCCATATAGCACATATAGCACATATAGCAACGAGCCGGGGAAGAGTGGGAGTTCAGCGGCTTGGCGTGTAAGACCCATATAGCACATATAGCACATATAGCAACGAGCCGGGGAAGAAAAGAGTGGGGGTTTTGGGGTTCACGCGGCTTGGCGCAGGGTCAATGCCGGGAAGGCGCGGCAGGAGGCTTCTGCTGCCAGGAATAGGGGCGGCGGACAGGGAGGCTTCTGTGCCATGGCAAGTGGGCGTGAACACAAGTGTCGGCTGGCACTTGTGTTTGAACCTATCTCTGTAGAGGGAGTTTTCCAAATGGCTTATATTCTACCTGAGAGGCTTCTAGCACTCGTCCGTCCAGCATTTGACCTCGTCCTGCGAAGGATTCGAAGTCTAAAACGCTGCGTGCAGGCGTGTGGCTGCAAAATAGAGACCCCTAGATATGCGCTGCAATTTGGCTACAGGTTGCATTTCAAGCGATGTCAAGCTTTGCCAAAGGAAACCCCTTTTCCCTTTTTTTCGGGGACCCCTTTTTTTGGACCCCTTTTTTTCTTTTTTTTTGTTTTTCTTAGCCCTGCAAAGGTTGGCTCGCTTGAAATGCAACCTGGAGCCAAATTGCAAGCATATCTAGGGGTCTCTATTTTGCAGCCACACGCCTGCACGCAGCGTTTTAGACTTCGAATCCTTCGCAGGACGAGGTCAAATGCTGGACGGACGAGTGTCAGAAGCCTCTCAGGTAGAATATAAGCCATTTGGAAAACGCCCTCTACAGAGAGAGACACTTCTTTGCAGAGCACGCTTCTTTGCAGAGCACTCTTCTTTGCGCTTCTTTGCTTCTTTGCAGAGCAAGCTTCTTTGCAGAACACTTGCGCTTCTTTGCAGAGCACACTTCTTTGCAGAGCACACTTCTTCGCAGAGCACTCTTCTTTGCAGAGCACTCTTCTTTGCAGAGCACGCTTCTTTGCAGAGGACTCTTCTTTGCAGACGCGCTTCTTTGCAAAGCACACTTCTTTGCAGAGCACTCTTCTTTGCAGAGCACGCTTCTTTTGCAGAGCAAGGACTTCGACGAACCAGCCCCATCCGCGAGGGGCCCAACGACTACATCCTGTTTTTTTTGCCCTCAGCAGCGATCCGCGTCGTCTGCAAAAAGCAACTCTGTGTGAAAAGGATGAAACAGCAAAACAGATCAGGTACGGGCATTGCGAGAGGCGCGTGTGCCTTAAAAAGTGCCCAGGCTCGAACATAAAGAGAGGGAACCCCAGCTTGGTCAGCCGGTGCTCTCCGCCCTGCAAGGAGCGCATGAGCTTCTTCCGCCCGTTGCGAGCAGTCGTTGGGCATGAGACACGGGCGCTCCAAGCGGTGCTGCTAAGACCGTTGGCTTCGGACACCGCGGTGCTGCTGCTTGAGTGCTCCAAGGATGGTGCCGCGGCAATGTGCACTGCACTGTCCTTTCGAATTTTGGCTACGCGTTTTCCTTTTTCGCTCGTGGTACTCCCCTCGTTGTACAGGTTTCACTTTTCGGCTCGCACGTACCTGCGCACCCAGTGGTCGGCCGTCGCGTCCCAGCCCCAGGTTCTGCGCGGTGCATCTTGGACACCCGCCGCCTTGCGCAGGTGAAGACGGACTGCTGACGGCACCGCGTCGTGGATGGGGCGCTGCAGGACAGGCAGGGAGAAGGCGTTGGCCAGCCTGTTGCGCCTGCAGCGCACCACGTCCACGCAGCCTGCGCCTCAAAGACGAGGGAAGGCAGCTTGGGGCTCCGGGCGTACTCCATGTCCATGACTCCGGGCGCACCAGCTCTCCAGGCTGGTCGCTGCGCTGTGGCAGTCGCCGCAGCGCCTGCAGGGCCCGCGAAGGCCTCGCGCCGGGCACTCTCGTTTTCGCCTTCAGCAGCTTCAGGAAGATGGAGCAGGTGGCGCAGCGGGTCAGGCAACAAGTGGAGGCCTCGCTCACAGCCTTCGAGGACAAGCCGCTCTGGTGCCCGGCAGCTGCAGCGAGCGTGGAGGTGTGCGCCGACTTCGACGCCATGCTGCGCCACAACTCCGCCAAGGAGGTAAGATCTGTGGTGCTGCAGGCGCGCGCGTGCTCTACCAGGGCGAGGCAGGAGACCCTGCGGACGGGCTGTTCTGGTGCGAGAAGGCGCGGCGCCAGCTTCTGGCCGTGCAAGAGCCCCAAGGTGGCCATCAGCAGCCACGAGCTTCTTCTGCCCGTTGCGCAGCAGGATAGTTGGGCCCCTTGCGGATGAGGGGTTGTAGTCAAAGTCCTGCTGGGAGGCGATGAGAGTAGTAGTGCTGCCCGCTCTGCAAAGAAGCGTGCTCTGCCAGGAAGGGAATGGGGGCGAGTCAGCTTTGGAGTTGTGATGTCTTCTGCGGGGACTTGAGGCGAGGTTGGGTGTGTTGTCTTCTGCAGGGAATTGAGGCGAGTCAGCTTCCGGGGGGGCGAAGGGGGGATGGGGCGAGTCAGCTTTGGAGTTGGGTGTTGTTGTTGTCTACTTTCTCTTTTTTGGGGGCGGGGGTGAGTCAGCTTCCGGGGGTGCGAAGGGGAATGGGGGTGAGTCAGCTTTGGAGTTGGGTGTTGTTGTTGTCTACTTTCTTTTTTTGGGGGGCGGGGGCGAGTCAGCTTCCGGGTGTGTGTGTTGTCTTCTGCGGGGAATGGAGGCGAGTCAGCTTCCGGGTTGGGTGTGTGTTGTCTTCTGCGGGGAATGGAGGCGAGTCAGCCTCCAGGGGGGCGAAGGGGAATGGGGGCGAGTCAGCTTTGGAGTTGGTGTTGTTGTTGTCTACTTTCTTTTTTCGGGGGGGCGGGGCGAGTCAGCTTTGGAGTTGGGTGTTGTTGTTGTCTACTTTCTTTTTTTTTGGGGGGTGGGGGGCGAGTCAGCTTCCGGGGTGTGTGTGTGTGTTGTCTTCTGCGGGGAATTGAGGCGAGTCAGCTTCCGGGTTGTGTGATGTCATCTTCTGCGGGGAATCGAACGAAAAGGGCCCGCCATTTTGGGCGAAGGGGGGATGGGGGCGAGTCAGCTTTGGAGTTGGGTGCTGTTGTTGTCTACTTTCTTTTTTTTGGGGGCGGGGGTGAGTCAGCTTCCGGGGGGGCGAAGGGGGGATGGGGGCGAGTCAGCTTTGGAGTTGGGTGTTGTTGTTGTCTACTAGTCAGCTTCCGGGTTGGGTGTTGTTGTTGTCTGCTTTCTTTTTTGGCGGGGCGGGGGGCGAGTCAGCTTCCGGGTTGGGTGTGTTGTCTTCTGCGGGGAATTGAGGCGAGTCAGCTTCCGGGTTGGGTGTGTTGTCTTCTGCGGGGAATGGAGGCGAGTCAGCTTCCGGGGGGCGAAGGGGGGATGGGGGCGAGTCAGCTTTGGAGTTGGGTGTTGTTGTTGTCTACTTTCTTTTTTTTGGGGGCGGGGGTGAGTCAGCTTCCGGGGGGGCGAAGGGGGGATGGGGGTGAGTCAGCTTTGGAGTTGGGTGTTGTTGTTGTCTACTTTCTTTTTTTGGGGGGCGGGGGGCGAGTCAGCTTCCGGGTTGGGTGTTGTTTTTGTCTGCTTTCTTTTTTTGGGGGGCGGGGGGCGAGTCAGCTTCCGGGTTGGGTGTGTTGTCTTCTGCGGGGAATGGAGGCGAGTCAGCTTCCGGGGGGCGAAGGGGGGATGGGGGCGAGTCAGCTTTGGAGTTGGGTGTTGTTGTTGTCTACTTTCTTTTTTTGGGGGGCGGGGGCGAGTCAGCTTCCGGGGGGGCGAAGGGGGGATGGGGGTGAGTCAGCTTTGGAGTTGGGTGTTGTTGTTGTCTAGGGGTTCGCCGCCAGGGTCAGGGTGTAGCCGTCCACGCTCACTCCCGCGGTGTGCGTGGCCAGGACCACGCTGCAGCCGCTGCTGGGGCGAACCGTCCAGTTTGACAGCGAGACGTCCGTGGGGCCCAGGATCTGCTCTCCTACGGCGGCCACCACCTCGTCGGCCCCTCCGTCGTCCGGAAAGCGCACGGCTATTTGCAGGGCCGAGGCTGCCTCCGTGACTCCGAGCTCGCCGGCAAGGAGGCTGTCCACCTGTGCGATGGTGTAGTAGCTGAGCAGGGCGGCGGCGATGCTTGAGGCCGTCGCCGTGTCCTGGTCGGCGGCTGAACGGTACGCCGCCAGCGCCGAGGTGATTTGGTTGGTTGTGAACACGTCCTGGTCCGGGCCCGTCCGGTAGGCCAGCAGCGCGCCCGCGGTGGCGGCCTGCGTCTGCGTGTCCTGCGCGCTTGCCGTGCGGTAGTCTCCCAACAGGGCGTCCACTTGTGAGGAGGTGTAGTAAGCCAGCAGCGCGGCTGTGATGGGCCCGGTCGTCTCTGCGTCCTGCATGTGCGGTAGTCTCCCAACAGCGCGTCCACTTGTGAGGAGGTGTAGTAGGCCAGCAGC